AGATTATTCAATTAAAGGTATGAAATAGCCAATAGACAGACATTCGATTAGAAATTAGACAGAGTCACCGAAAGAATGACAGGTTGAAAGTAGTTCTGCGATGCCGGCAGGTTTACGAATAACGAAAACGAAAGTAACTGAACAAAATGGCGAGAGAGAGAGAGAGAGAGAGAGAGAGGGGTGACGGCCTGATTGTTTCCCTTTGTCCGTGCATTTATTTCATTTAGATTGAGCTTTAGATTTAGATTGAGATTTAGATTTAGATTTATTTACTCGACACTATATTGTTATACTGTTCGTATTTCCTAATCAGGGCTCAGCATAATAACCCATAAATACCCAATAAAGTCACCCTCTCTTGTCTACGGCCATACCACGTTGAAAATACCGGTTCTCGTCCGATCACCGAAGTCAAGCAACGTCGGGCGTGGTTAGTACTTAGATGGGTGACCGCTTGGGAACACCACCAGCTCATTCAAGCCACGATGACACAGAAGAGCTACGCGACAGCGACAACCGGAAAAGCTACCCCAGCAGAGAAGAAACCACAGAAAAACTCTCAGACAGAAAAAAGACAGGAAACGAAGACTAAAGAGATCATAAGGAAAGAAGAAAAAGAACAGGAAGAGAAGAAAGAAGGAACCAAGGCCAAGGACAAGGAAAAGAAGAGGTAGAAGCAGTATCAACATCAGAAGAAGAAGAGGAACCTTTCGTCATCGTCAAAAGCAGAAGTCGGTCCTCGTCCCCTGAAAAGTTATCTTTGAAGCGACAGACAAGTCAGATCACCATGGAGCAGGCCAGGAAGAAACTCAGGAACACACTCACAATAATCTCCCTCAACATTAGGGGATGCAGAAATAAGGGAGACTGCATCATTCAATTAATTCAAGAACATAAGCCAGACTTTCTATTTTTGCAAGAAACAAACATTAAAACAGAGCATGAGGCAAACACTTTCATATCAAAGATAGGGTTAAATTACAAACACTCCCATTACAGCAATAGCCCACACCAGGGAGGAGGCACGGCGATCATACAAACGTCGGACCAATGAGAGATAACATCAAAAGGAAAGGACAACGAAGGAAGAATAACAACGGTCAACATAACAAACAACAACCAAAATTACACACTAGTCAACATACACGCTCCTACAGACAGGAGCAAGAAAAAACTTTTCTACGAGAAACTACCACAATTTTTAGCTCACATACACCAGCGAGCAGAACTGATCATAGGAGGAGATTTCAACTATATCAATGAACGCATAGACTCAACTAAACCCAACAGAACAACAACTGAAAGGATTGTAGAAGAGACGAGTCAGACAGAGGTCATACAATATATCACTGAAACATTCAACCTTACCGACGCGTACAGGGAAAAAATTCCTCAGGGAAAAGACAAAACACACACAGGATACATAGGCTCATCAAGCGCCAGGTTAGATAGGCTGTACGTACCAAAATCATCAACGCTATACAGGGCACTACACATAGCAGACACACTTAAATACACAGACCACAAGGCAGTCAAAACACAAATCAATGGACCCACCGACCAACCAAGAGGACGCTCACCACATTGGAAGTTCAACAACACCCTCTTGGAGAACCCTCAATATCTAGACATAATACAACATATTATCAAACAATACACAACCACAATACCAACCAACGATATAGGAAGACACTGGGAACTTTTCAAATCAACTGTAAAAGGAGTCACCCAGTCTATTGCGGCACAGATACAAAAGGAAAGGAAGAACCGAGAAAAAGAACTGAAACTTATCATACCGATTAGGAAAGCCACCGATCCAACCGATCCCGTAACCATAGAGTTAGAAAAAGAACTGGAAACAATACAACAGTACAAATACAAAGGCGCCCAAGTGAGAAGCCGAACACTCATAGACAACTTAGAAGTACCGACAAAACATTTCCTTACCGTGGAAGAAAACATACAACGCAGCAATCACATCAGAGTTATCGAGGACAACGAAGGAGTGCTCCACGATAACAACGATGGGATTGTCAACACTTTCATGGACTATTACACACAATTATATAAACACGAACAAACAAACCCAGACATAGAGGACAAGTACGCCTCGTATGCAAAGACCCTAGAGGCGACCCAGATGGCCGAACTGGACAAACCGATACAAATCACCGACATCAAAACGGCGCTGGACGGGATGAACTAGGGGAAATCCCCCGGACCAGACGGGCTGACCACCGAATTTTATAAACACTTTGCGCCCCAACTGACCCCACTCCTACATGCGGTGATAAGCGAGGCGTACGCGAACAAAGAATTACCGCCCAACATGGGAGAGTCATACATCAAACTACTATCCAAAAAGAAAACAGATAAAACGCAACCAAAAAACTACAGACCTATATCACTACTGAACACAGACTACAAAATACTAACTAAAACGATAGCCAATAAAATTAAACCCCACTCCTACATGCGGTAGGACCAACAGTGCAGCATTAAGGACAGAAACATAAATAACTATAATCATTTCATTAGAGATATAATACAGTACGCCAAAGACAAAAACATACAGGCAAGTATCTTGGCACTTGATCAAGAAAAAGCCTTTGACAGAGTATCACACACATACTTACATAAAATACTCAAACAAAATAACCTAGGTTCATACGTCTGTGACTGGGTCCAAATATTATACAACAATCCTGTAAGTAAACTATTAATAAACAATACATTATCAGAAGGAATTGAGATACAGAGATCGGTCAGACAAGGATGCCCTCTATCTCCTTACCTGTACATCTTGGCAATAGAGCCAGTATTGGAGAAAATTAGGAAAGATCCCCAAATCTAAGGAATAAGCGTACCTAATAGAGGTGAAAGGAAACTGCTCGCCTACGCCGATGATACAACACTCTTCCCAAAAAATAACCAATCCATCAAACAAATAATAGAAACTTTTAACGAATTTGGCCAGGGTAGCGGCTCGAAAATCAATATCGATAAATCAGAAATTATGGGGATAGGTAAACTAACAGACAAATTAGATTACCCTTTAAATCTAACAGGTAAAAAGGAACTTCTCATATACGGACTCACGTTCACAAACAATCCAG